TGTTTTGTCCCTCTATTCCATGCCGATCAATACAACACAATGAAATTATCACACGAGGGGAAAATCCAACTGAGTTTATTTTTGAAAACCTCTGTAGGAACGAAAAAATGCAAATTGAAATCCAGGAAATCTTTTAATTTTCTAAAACACAAAATGAAATTAAATTTTATATATCTAGATCCAGTCATGTCATACCTTTTACCTTTTATAGTTTCACTGTATTATCTTAACTGAAAATAAATGTTGGAGTGTAAACACAGTCATATTTGACAAAAGAATATAATGAACCTTAATCAATATCCTTCTAGACATTAAGGTGTATAACGCTTGCTGGTGAATGTTTCGTCCCCGAGAGTATCACCTGCCAAGCAGTTTTTTTCAGCCCCAAGACGTGTAGCTGTTTAAGTACAAGGCACATGGATAGACAGACAAACGAATGGACAAGAAGATTACTATACATAATACCCCTTCAAATATAAAGTAAAAACAATTGGCGGGTTTCAATTAGATCAACTTTACCTACTTTTTGTTCATGAATGACCAGGGTAAATATTTGCCACTGAAGATTTAGATCTTTACGAGTTCTAAGCAGTCACCAAGGTTGTCGTTGTATGATTTAATTTATTTCAATTTTGAAGACAATGTGCAATGTTCGCCTACTCAACGAATTCGAGAAAGTTTTTATCCAGATTTTTTTAATTTTGGAATTGTTATGCACCTATTGAAGGTGTGCAATATTGTTTGGAATTTTTGTTCATATTGTAATTTATGTAGTACACTGTTTGCTCACTCAAATCCCATTTAGATTTTCTTAAAGATGACTGCGAAGCCGTCTATGACCTGGACTACATCTTCGAAGCCGTCTATGACCTGGACTACATCTTCGAAGCCGTCTATGACCTGGACTACATCTTCGAAGCCGTCTATGACCTGGACTACATCTTCGAAGCCGTCTATGACCTGGACTACATCTTCGAAGCCGTCTATGACCTGGACTACATCTTCGAAGCCGTCTATGACCTGGACTACATCTTCGAAGCCGTCTATGACCTGGACTACATCTTCGAAGCCGTCTATGACCTGGTCTACATCTTCGAAGCCGTCTATGACCTGGACTACATCTTCGAAGCCGTCTATGACCTGGACTACATCTTCGAAGCCGTCTATGACCTGGACTACATCTTCGAAACCGTCTATGACCTGGACTACATCTTCGAAGCCGTCTATGACCTGGACTACATCATCAAAACTGAATGTTACAGTTCTCCTTCAGAATTATGCTCAGGATCTTATATTCATTGAAAAGATAACATAATCCAAGGTCTCTAACTTCTGTGCTGGAAAATAATGAAGAATCGCTGCATTTTTTACAAAGTATGTCTTATATTGACAGCCTATTACTCCACTTCGCTCTAGGGCCGGGGTGGGACAAGTTTTGTTAGCTCTGCAAATATAACACAATTGTCGCTAAAAAATGGGCATAGGCATAATACGAAATTGGAAAATACAATTTCGTTCTTCATGTTTTCCAATCCTGTCCTGTAAACCGAACATTTTTATGTTCATTGGATTTATTTATTCTTTCGGAATCATTTTTACTTCGACCACTTAACTGTGTTATGAATGTAGCAACTTTATAGTCTGCATCAATACTCCTCATCTTTTCAACAGTATTAAAATGTTCCTGACCAGTTACGTAATATTCTATTTGCTTAAGTTTTTGTACTGCTGATGTTCTAGAGCTTGCTGATCTACGATGTGAATGTGCGCTGTACACTTTCTCTTCGGGTGTAACACGTGGTTTGTGAAATGAAAACCCCATTTGCAAGCTGCTTTGCTCTCTTCGTGACAGTCTAGCATTTGGTCGTACCATACTTTGGAATGTTTTGGACTCTTTCACAACTCCTTCCTTTGCTTCATCCCATATATTTTTTTTCTTTTTAGATCTTATTATAAACGCTTCTGTTGTTGTTAGCATTGAAGGTATTTTAATTTTAGAATCTAATTGTGTCATGTAGTGAGGTTGACAGCCTTTTTCAACAATTGGATAATCGCTGTTATAAGATGATTTGACCACTTTATGCAAGACTTCATGGGACGGTGGTCGCTCAACCACAATAATTGGATCATGGTTCAATACCTGGCAATTTTTCAAGAAAAATCGTTTCTTATGATTAGTTTCGATTTCTGTCCGTTTCATTTGTAAATCTAGATAAGCAAGCTTTCTTGTTAGATCTTGGTTCCTCCTTAAGTGCATAGCCATTAAAGAATTGCCATATTTACTGAAAGCAGGGTATCTAGCAGCTTTGACTGCATTTTCTCGCTCTTTAATGGCTTGCCGTTCACTAACTTTATCATGCAGGCTAAAATCCATGTTGTCCTATAATTATAACATATGGATTATTCAACGCTCCATATATAGTTGTCCAGTGAATTTCTTTCTGCGCTATAGCAGTGCTGAACGAACAACAATAAAACGCATGCATTTCAGTGACACCTTGTACCGTTCTCGTGTACAATATGGTTGCAATGGTGAACGTAGTGATAGATATATTTAACACGCAGATATAAAAGGTGTTGGACGGTTCCGTATAGTTGAAATGTTAAGATTAATGCATATTTAATTTATTTGTATTTTTTAAATGACTTTTGCGTGAAAATATCATTCAACACATAAAAAGTATTTGAGTCACAATTTAGAATAAGTTTTTGAAAAAGAATACGTGTAAAATGTACTTAGAGAAAGTGTAATTCGATTCAGTACTTAATTCAATTAAAGTTTGTAGTATTTGATAGCAAATTAAAAAGAATAAAAAAGGGTTTCGCGGAACCCAGTGTCTCGTCTGCGATAGCTGCTGTCAGTGTAAAAGTGTGATGTTGACTGTCAAAAGTCAGTCCATTTATCAGTAAAATACAGAATTAAAAAAATCAAACTTTTTTCTTCATGCGCTATTTCTTGATTGTGCGGATTAGAATATGTCCAAGATTCATATCAATCCATGAAGGTTTACAAATCCATCATAACAAAACAAATTGATCCCAGTGTTAACTACAAAAAATGTTACTTATCTTACTAATCTATCAGTAAAATGCGGAAAAATGAAAAACAAAAATCTAAATTTTGCTTCAGACATTATCTATCAGTAAAATTTTTTTGCCAAAGTTTCATAAAATTCAATGTAATTGACATCTTATTAACTTTAATCCCTAGACTGTATCTATATGTTAACTGTAAAAAAAATGATAAAATGCAGAAAAATGAAGAAAAAAAAACACAAATATATGATTTATTATTTTGCTCAGAATCACTTTGTCTCGCTTCAGCAACATTAATGTCACACGCTCGACAATAAAATGCAGTAGTGGACTCAGGACCTCGTTAAATGATGTTTTAAGTATAGAAACAGATTCGTTAAAATATACTATACACGTATTTGGTCAATTGTTTACTCCATTTTTCTCAAACATCGGCCTTTGAAGCAAAGCTATTAGTAAATCAATACATACCGATTCATATATACAACTACATGTCTCAACTGAAATGTTCGAATCTCTTAACACACGTTTATGTACATTAGCATTTCTTCGCTCAAGAATGTGATGCGAGAAACTTTTTCGAAAGTATATGACTTTTTCAACATACTTCTTGAATCTTAAAAGCCAGTCATTTTTCAAACATGGTTATATAATTGTAGATATCATAGAAAGGCTATCGGATCCACATGCAAATGGATTATATTCGAGGTCGAGTATGACAAACAGAAAACCTTGTGTCAAAAATTGCATTGATTGCATTTTAAAGTCAGGCTCCATACATACACTACAACGTATTTAAGAAGGTAAACGGACAGAAAGTCACAGGACATAAAGTCACAAATTTGATAGGACAAAAAGTCACAGGACAAAAAGTCACAGGACAAAAAGTCACAAATAGTTTGTTGACAATTGTTTGAATATATAAGAGAAAGATCTTGAAATATTTTCTTTTTATTACATATATTCATTTTTAAGTTTAGGAAATTGTTCATAAGCCTTGATAAATGAAAATTTATTAAATTTTATCGTGCAAAAGATATATTTCTTGGCACCATGAAGCCATTTAAGGATCAAGCCTCTTTGACATTTTGTTTTCATAGCAATTATTTGATCATTATTAATATTTATTGCATAAATTTTAATTACAAAGTTGTTTTATAAATAATAGTTTAAGAAAAAAACAAAATATTTCTTTTTAAATTATTTTTTTCTTGTTCAAAGAAAAATAATCTCAAAACTGAATTGTGACTTTTTGTCCTGTGACTTTCTGTCCTACATTCTTTAAGAAGACATTGTTATTGAACACAGCCATGATTTTAAAAAAGTCCTTATCAGTACGAATTCAGTTTGCATTAAACACGGTAACGATTTGAAAGTGCCCAACATTTAGACAAGAAGGTACCATTAGTAAAGACCAAACTCACTCACATCTTGATTTTCAAAATCTTTCTAGACATGGGACTATTCAGAGATTGACATATTGTATAGACGGCTGTCTGATGTTGAAAACTGTAAGTTGCCCATCTGGATTTCTTTTGGTTATTTTGTCGTCGGGTTGCTGTCTCATTAATGTTATGATATGATATGATTTTAGATCTATATATATACAAATGTGCAGCCTTATTCCAACATTTAGGTGGCCAGACTACTCAGTTAAAAAACTGTCAGCCTCCCCTTCAGAGCCAAATGGTTGTCTCTTTACTTATTACAAATTCAAGATGTATAAATAAACAACAAATGTTTTAAAAGTGTATCCGATTAAAAGTCGGGATGTAAAAATGTCTGGAGATGTATATTGTTCTTATCAGTGCAAGGTAGAGTCATATTTTGTTTTAAAATTACCTGTCAAGCTGTCTTATTTCATTCCCTTCAAATTAAGGTACTAGATATTTTTATATTAAGGAAACATTGCACATCTGCCATATAGAACTTAAATGGTTGTTCCGATTAAGTTGACATGTATACATCGTTATTACAAAAATAATATTTATTTTTAATATGATAATAAATTTGTTGTCTCTATGCAGTTATTTCTAAAACAGTATGTCTGGTAGCTTTCGTTCGCCTCCTTTTTCCAGAAGAGCTTGTTGCTGATCTTGTAAATCTAACAGATTTAGAGTCACCCGATTTAGGGGTTTTACTCGAATCATTTTGTTTATGTCCACTCAGACTCCTCACTTTAGCCATTTGGGTTATGAATGGAGTAAACGAATCCTCGTCATCACTACCACCAAGTTTTTCTACAGTGAATTGTTCATTTTCAGGTTCAAACTCTAATAAGTTTGTTCTTTGTACCGGTGTGTTCGATTTGGCAGAATTTGGTTTCATATTTATATTGTCAATTGTGTGTTCTGGTGTCAGTCGTGGCTTGTGGTAAGACCACCCAACTTGTAAATCTACCTTTTCACGTCTCGTAAGTCTTACACATGGGCGTACAGTGCTTTCAAACTTCAGAGGTTCTTTGTCGTCTGTTGCTTCCTCCCAAACATTCTTTTTATTGCTGGTTTTCACTGTAAAAGCATCAATAGTAGTCAAAAGTGAGGGTGTGCGCACTTTGGAACGAAGTTGCTTCATGTAATGCGGAGAATTTTCTGGGTCTAAATAGGTGTCATCTTCGTCATCACTGTACGCTAATTTCACAATTTTCTTAATGACTTCCGGCGATGGTGGTCTTTCTACCAAAATAATAGGGTCATAATTTAAAACTTGACACTTTTTGACGAAATATTTCTTTTTCTGTTTCATTTCTATTTCCATCCGTTTAATTTGTGAATTGATATATTTTAACTGTTTTGATAATTCTCTGTCTTGTTTAGAATTTACATCTACTAAGGTAGTTCCATATTTGCTCACTCCAGGATTTCTGGCACCGTCCATAGCCTTTTCTCGCTCTAACATCGCTCGTCTGCTAGTGAAATTCGCGAACTTGAGACTACGCTCCATTGATCTAGAAGAAAAATAAAATTGATACGCATTTTAATTAATAATTTTGAAAAGACAACGTTCTGGTATATGTTCTGTTTAACTTCTAACGTCTCTTACTTGGGTTTGACAGCATGGACGTCATCGTCATATATATATCCCTTAAAAGATTTTCACTTTCAGTTAAAAAAAGAGTGGGAGAATTCAAGAAAAATGTTTTTTATCTGATTTTAGGGGGATAAAATAAATTGTAGAACAAAAAGTGTATGAAACATTCTTTAATGCTTTGCACTTTGTCCCAATAAATATGAATAAAAGAAGCTCTGGTTAAATATCGATGACACAGCAAACCAACGAAAAATATAACTAAAAGACATCTAGAGGGAAACCTACAGTCTTCAACAATAGGTAGGTGTCTATACAATACGGCAAGCTCCAAATTACATAAAATAATCTAAACAGGTTGATAATAGTTTTTTTTTATCCTGCATTCAACCTTTCTACTATACAGATAATGCGATGCTATATACCGTAAAGTATACTTGCTATATACGTAAAGTATACGTTTTTAGTCACCTGATATTCTGCTTCTGTTGCGAGAAACAGTTATCAAATTACTGTTTACGTCACAGTTCAATTTCGGGTCCTCGTCGCGGTCCGCGTCTAAGTTAAATCCAAACTCCCCGGCAGTTCCAGCTACTCTTCGATGGAGTAAAGGAAAATAGTTCCGGAACGGAAACGATCACTATGCGGAGTTAGAGTCAAATCGACTTTATTTAATTCAAAAACAAATTCAACGGTTGGGAAGTCAAAAACTAACGTTTGAACATAAATGTTAAATCGCAAGGTAAAAACCATTTTCGCACATCGTAGGAAAACATATATTTTATCTGAATTGTAGGAAAATATAAATTTGTTTTGTACTCGGTGAGCCTAGCTGTCCTCTCTGATTTTTAAATGCTCGTACATATACTTTTATATATTTCCTACAATACGAATATTGTGACTAAAAGTTCAGTCTTGGGACCGGCACAAGAAGATGTTAAACAAGTTTTTTTAAGATCTCAACCACTATTTAAAAATGAATTAAAACAAATTATTTTCTATGCATGTCCAAAAGCATATCCGAATTTTGTTTCCCAAGAAAAGCTAGCCCGCGGGAATCACAGTTATATGCAATCTCTTATGCTATTTCAATACAAACACAAAGAACAACAATCATGTTTTGTTAGTAATACGCAGCATATTCAATCAATTCATTTAACTAATACCGTTTGTATATCATTATATATATATCATTGTATAAAATGGTTTATGAAATTTTACCCGCATTTAAACATTGTATGCCGACTCATTTAAAAGTCAAGTTCTCAGCGATATTAGCATTACATGCAAAGAGTGTCGTGTGTAAAGTTTACTAAAATAAACATTTAATCAAATACTAATTAAATTGATAAAATGAAAAATGCTTTATTCGGCTTTACGTCAGTCATATATTATTGACGAGAAGTCAACAGTAGCTAAAACATGATATACAAGTAAATACGGTGGCATATTTATTGTCGTATTTTCACAAAATTCTCAGTATGTATATAACTATGTATATTTGATGTATATTGACTGTCAAATATTAGCTTGGCTGCTTCATTTCTTTTTTGTCATTGAATATTGGAATAGCCTCTTGACATCTATGGTAGTCTGCTTTTCATGTTATAAATGTTATTTCTCTAATTCTTCGTCAATTTATCCATTTCTTCACCCATTATATAAAAAAAATTTAATCAACGTGTGGTTCGTTTGATCTCAGTTCTTCATTGGTTAAAATCCGATTATGACGTCGAATTTTCTTGCTTTCCTCTGAATTTCCTCTTGTGACGGCATGAAAAAAGGCGACCATGCCTGATGACGTCACATAGAAAGAACACATCTTTTTGCAGATCATTTATTGACTGAAGAAACAAAAAGTCCAGACGTTTGACTTGAGTGAAATTCAATACTATACAATACTCATTTGTAGTTTAAATAAAAACGAATAAAAACAAAAGAACTTTTCTGTAGATAAACTTACCTGCTTTGTTTCTTTGGCTGCTGTCGAGCAATCTACAAGTACAAATGAAACTTGATTTAATTGAGAAATTTTTCATTTCAATATATTTACGTGTGTTACTAAGAAGCAAAGTAGAAATCGATTCCTTCTAAAACAAAATAACATAATGGGCAATTTTCATTTCAATTCAGACAGCAAATTTTCTGTTCGATTATTTCGAGTTTTATTGAAACTGCTTTCCGGTTGATCTTATTTGATATAAAAATGCTACCAAATAAATTTCACCTTTTATAACTCTTATTGTGAAAGATTTTATCAATACTTGTATGTTTCTACAAAAGTATGTAATAGGATATGTTAATCTGAAGAATCAATTTCCCGATATTTCTATTCACATACTAACAACAATGCGAAACTTATCACGAGTAAATCTAAATCTTTCACTCAAATAAAAATATTTTTATATGCGAACAATTTATAATTTGAGATAGGTTCTTTAATAACTACTTCTAAAGGGGTGACATGGGGGTGCTCACTTTCCAAATCCCACTTATTGGTAATTTATTCCCACTTCCCACTTTTTTCCCTTCTTTTTCCCAGATCCTATTTTTTTTACCTCTATATCCCACATCCCCACTTTTTTTCCCTTATATCCCACATCCCGACTTATTTATCCCCTATATCCCACATCCCAAAACTCATTACTCAATCAGCTGGTGATGAAGTGAGTATTAAAAGTGACAAATTTGGTCGTACAGTTCGGTGCACAGCAGACACGTGTTTCTGTTAATTCGTTTTATACGGTAGAGAGAAAAAGATATTGGATGTCCAATACATCAAAATTTTGTTAGCATCAAAACCAAAAGGGCTTAAATACAATAGTCAAAACTGTCTTGGTAAAAGTAGAGTCTAATTTATTATGAACTAAACATTAACAGTCAAAAGATATTATTTGAATCCTACCAATACTCAAACACTATACTTCCTAAATCGAAATTTAACTTTCAGTGGCACTGATATAAGAAAGATATATAATTGCAAAAAATGTGTTGTACTTGCGATACTTTTCATAATTGTGTCAAAAAAAGAAGAAAATATGGATCTTTACCACTGCCACTTCGGACTTCAAAATTCCAATTTAACAGTCAAACATTATCATGCACACTACCATAACTGTTCAAGAAAGAGACTACAAGGACTATTGATAACCAACTGGCATACTATTAATTCAATAAAGCATTTTCTAGATAGACTTTCATGACTAATGGAGACTACAACAACTATCGGATACCAACTCTCCGACTCATGATTCAGTATTTTTATGTAAACTATATGGTTTGATGGAGACCACAATAACTATAAGAGACCAACTGTCAGTCTCCTAACTGATTCAGAAAAAGCATATTTAGGTAGACTAAATCAGACTAAAGTTGTGTTTCTTTTAAACTCGGTATTTGTTTAAAGAAGGAAAGATAAGGGGGATAGAAAGAAGAAAAATGTTAAGTAAAGGAGAAGGAGACAGATAGGGATTAGAGAAAGTATAGACATAGTATGGAAGAAATTTTCACAAAAAATAGGGGAATGAAGAAGATAGATGAGAGAGAGAGAGAGAGAGAGAGAGAGAGAGAGAGAGAGAGAGAGAGAGAGAGAGAGAGAGAAACCCCGTGTCTGCTCAATTACTTCCAAATTATTTGCAAGCTTTGTTTTATCGTTGATGAGATAGACTAGCTTCTGTAATTTCTTGCATAATTAAGAGCATCTCTTTAGTTTCAGAGCCTTTTACAACTTATAGTGTATTGTCAATACAATTACATGTATGTATATTGCTTACTGAAAAAAGGAGAAAGACACCAAGGCAGCAATCAAAAACCACAAGTCGAAATAAAAAAACAATATCAGGGCGAAAAAACCCAAAACCAAAACCATAAACTGATAAAAACACAAACAGCAGTAAATAGATAAATGGAGAATGTGTTCATGGGACACAGATGATGCCCCGCTTGCATATAAAGTTATAAAGGGGCATAACTACAGAACAGTTAAAGTGATGCTACCCAAATTCGATATTGATCTGTGTTTTGTAGTAATAAGCATTGTGTATAAGTTTCATAACATTTTGTTGAGGCAAACTAAAGTTAGAGAGTTTTGGGACGGACGTACGGACGGACAAGGGTAACACTTAATGCCCCCTCCGGTGACAGCGGGGGCATAAAAACCAAAGAAACACTAACCGCACCTTAACCTAGACAAGGGATAAGCTCAGGATGAATTATGCGTTAACCAATGGAACAAAAATACAAACAGCAGGTTGTTATTTTGTTGTGCTTGACAGAACCAAACAACAGGAATGTAATAAAATACAATGTATTTATGATTTACCTTAAGTTTTCTGATGCTTGCCATTCTTTCTTCCTGTTATCCGGTACTAAGTAAAGTAAAAATTCTCTGTTTCTCACGATTGATAACGGATCCAGTGGCTCGACCGTTCTAAACGGTAAATAATCCTTTCTGCATATGATTTATCATTTCTTACGGATAAAATCTTTATCTCCTTCTAGAGACAATTTAATCTAATTTTTGTGTCATTTTACTATCGATCAAGGTATACAGAGGAGTCGTTAGCAACCAATAACTACCTTTAACTGAAGTATAGGACTCGTACAGGATGTTTTAAATCATATCTCATTGGGACAGTTCAACCGTCACAATAACTCAGTAATAAATTGATCTGTTATAACTTCTTACATACACTTCTATTTCAAATTTAAATTTATTTAAAGGTCACATTATTTTATTTATCGAATTTAAAATTCTTTACGCTAAATAAATCGTAATTTCACAAGTTTTTGATGTTTTGATTGAGTTTATTGCTGTAATTGGATTTGTTAGATAGACTGTACCAGGCGAGACTGAAGTACATTAGGGTCACAAATCGTTCACATGCAAAATGATAAATAGTATATTGGATGTTTGCATCAAATTATTCCAACGTTCAGGTGCAAAGTCCTTAAGGTTTTCAATGATAAATTTGACAAGGCGATGGTACTTCTTATTAAACTTTTATGGTTATTTTATGTGACTTTAAAATCAGTACCATTGAAAGCAAGGACATTTCTTTCAGCTACAACCTCGTTAAACCGGAATGCTTAAATCTTAAATCTTAACATGCCTGTTTCGGAAAATTTTGCCGGTCTGTTTGTTGAAGTCAATACTTTGTCTTTTTTTCTTATAAAATACGAGAACATAAAACTAGATATGAATTTGTCTGGCTAACAATTTATCTATTATTCAATTGGTCCTCTGACACACATTCATAAAGATTCGTATTTTGGTACCTATTCCTTTTGAAGAAGTAAACCCCAGATGTAGGCATGACTGCTTCAACTATAACATGGTGCATCCCAGTGAGGCCGGTTCCAAGAATACAGTCACAGATACATGTAATCATTTTAATACATAAATTGCATACTTAGTAGTAAATACCAGTAAATCAAATGTGTCTTTCAATCAATGGAAATCGTTCTGTATCGGCCATCCGTAATGATATCGATATCAGTCACGGCTGCAAAGTCTTTATCAAACCGCTAATATGTATGTAACGTTACGTGAAAATATTTCCGTAGCATTTTAGGTATATAATTTTATTAAATATGATTTTCAATACAACGCCCCGTATCAACCCTAATCCAATGTAATCACTCGAGCTGAGCTCTTTAGATTATATAAGTGTCTGATAAGAGTGTGATATTGAAAAGGACATATTATATTCTCTTTTTAATTTTTAATTTTTAATATTTTTTTATTCTTCTTGAACAAAACTTATATGATATATATTTTATGTTTTTTTTATTTGATTTCTAAATAAATACTATACAACTAAAAGCATTGAGATAATTTCTTTCGGCGGCCACGATACCGTTAAACTGATAATAGATTAATTGTTTTTTAAATCTTCAGAAAATTTTCAACTTTCCCAGTCCCTCAATATTTGATTAATTAATATTATTAATTGACGAAGAAATGCGATCAGCCACGTGATTGTTTGCTTTCCATGAGCAATACCACGGGCGTGGATCAGGACCTCCTAAACTACCTGAGTGCCAGAGTTGGTGCGTATTGATCAATCTTTAGTATTGTTTGGTAGTATTGAGAAGGGTTTCGTCAATCTGCTGTATTTTTTTCCTTTTGTCATCCTGTTGTCTGTCTAATTGTTACTTATAGTTTTCTTTTATTGCGCCCTCGGTGTCTTCATTGTTTTATGTGCTAATGTCATCGTAGTGACATGTTGAGGGGGAAGTGCTTAGTATATTGCCATCGTAGTGGCATGTTGAGGGGAAAGTGCTTAGAATAATGCCATTGTAGTGGCATGTTGAGGGGGAAGTGCTTTGTATATTGCCATCGTAGTGGCATGTTGAGGGGGAAGTGCTAATGACATCGTAGTGGCATGTTGATGGGGCAAGTGCAAAAGCCATCGTAGTGGCATGTTGAGGGGGAAGTGCTTAGTATATTGCCATCGTAGTGGCATGTTAAGGGGGAAGTGCTTAGTATATTGCCATCGTAATGGCATGTTGAGGGGGAAGTGCTAATGCCATCGTAGTGGCATGTTGAGGGGGAAGTGCTAATGCCATCGTAGTGTCATGTTGAGGGAAAAGTGCTTAGTATATTGCCATCGTAGTGGCATGTTAAGGGGGAAGTGCTAATGCCATCGTAGTGGCATGTTGAGGGGGAAGTGCTTAGTATATTGCCATCGTAGTGGCATGTTGAGGGGAAGTGCTAATACCATCGTAGTGGCATGTTGAAGGGGAAGTGCTTATTATACTTGGAGCATCTGAGTTTAGTAATTGTTTTCGGTGCATTTCATGTTGTTCAAAGAGTAAAGCTTTATTTTATATATTTGTGAATGAATATTTGTCTTTAATTTCAATGGTTTTTGTGTCATTTACTTGGCCGTCTTCCTTCGATTTACGTTTTCTGCAAACTTGCCAAAAATATATCGACGACCAGCTATGTTGCAATCATACAATCATATAAATATAAATAGATCCATTTAAATGTCTCTCAAACTAATTATATCTTCCTCCAGCATTGCCAAAAAGTCAAAATAAATATTGTCTCAATTTTACTGAGCAATATACTAAAAAGAACCATTCAAACTTTCTGTACTTTAACAGTTATCTATTTCTTGGGATATTTGCTTTCATCAGTAAGCTTCTCTTTTGGTTTCAATGAATTTTAAATCTCTCCAAAGGATAGGGTCTCGTGGCGTTAGGCAGATTATCAAAATTAGAAATAGAAACCATCCACAGATGAATGTTCCTTGAGATACATTTAAATTCCTTACAATTCAAGAAAGATATTAACCTCTTGAAGTCCAAATGTCTGCCCTTTTCCAACAATAACTATTCTTCCAGTAGCAGTCCAATTTTCATGCCCTCCATCGCGGCTGACACAATTTAAAGTCCCTACTTATTTGGTGTACAAATAATTTTGACCTCGTCCTGATTATACATGAAATATTTGATACTGGAGTTTAGTAAGTAACAATCAATAAGTGTTCGAATACACTGTCCGAATTTAGATAAACAAGTATTCGAAGATATACAAAATGTTGTGTTTGTTACACATTTCATCCATATTTTTTTAACTTGACTACCTAACAATTTGTGTATTCACAAGAATGGTTATATTAAACAAGTTACTAAAAGTGGAGTTCTAATATGTTTTTAAAATTTGATATGATAATTGATAAACAACAAATCGTACTAATTGCATAAGGAGACACTTTAGTTTTATTTGACATGACAATCATATTTCCGATTGTAATTAATTCCACATTACAAGTACAAAATTATTTTCTATCGATTTCTTTATTTGATTTCTGTTATTAAACCTTTACGGTCGTGAAAATGTAATCGCGATAATAGGAACGATTATATTCTTTGGTTTCCAAGAGAGGATAAGGTTACTAACTCTTGTCACGCAATGGATCAAATTAGTTTCTTCCAAGATTAAGTTGACAAATAGTTTTTTTCTGCAATTACATATGAGATAAAATTAGTCTGGTTTAGAGAAAAAATGTTCCTTCTTACAGAGTGAACATTTTTCACTTCTTTCGATATATGTAAAATAGGGAGATGTGGTATGATTGCCAAAAAGACAACTATCCAACAGAGTCCAAATGAAGCGGAATTAAGCAACGAGCGATATACTCGTTATCTCAGTTAAATTCCAGTTTCATTGAATATTTTATCCTGCAATCAGCCAACTATTGTACAAATAACAGGTACACAAACAAATGTTGCTTTATATGTACTTATAGAAATAAAGTCTCCTGTTATCCAGCTTCCATTTTGAGCAAGCGGTAATGTGAATATTTCTTTTTTCTTAACAGTTCATTTTAGTTCAATTCAATTCAATATTTTATTGGAAAGAGCACAATAGAGGCGTGATCCAAACATAGATATAGTTGACTATTACATCTACAACAAAATTTTGGGGTCCTCTTTGTGGTCCGCGTTTAAACTATGTCGAATTCTTTGAAAAATAAAAAAAACCCCAACTTTTTTTGATTTTAAATAACTGAAGCTTCAAGTGCCGGATGTAAATGGAAGGATAAAACAACATATGTACATTTTCGGAAATATAAAATTTATTTGTACTCGCTACGAAACAGGAGAAAAGCTCGGCGCGACTAGCTTTACGTTCTTTTTCTAAAGCCCATACAAATGCATTTCACATTTTCCAACAATGTACATATATTGTATATATATTTTCATAACTAAGATATTTTTACAACACGGATACTGATATCATAAGTTGGTCAAATTTTTCACTAAGTTTCACCAAAACTATTGGATAATGTAGAAGCATGCCTCATCTTGCAGGAATTTTAGAAAAAAATAATAGTGGTATTTCGCAACCTGCCATTCATTGTAATAAATTAAAAATACAAACACCTATATACCAATTGTCCTTCAAAATCTTTTAATTTTGGCTTAGTTTACTAATGGATGAAGGTTATAAATATATTGTTGTTATAAATCGGTCTTGCATTTTATATAGATTAATATCGTTCCTCTTATTTACATTTTAAAACACACTGACTAAATTGTTTCTTTTATTTTTTCCATATTAAAATTCTGTACACAAATTTACCTTGAACATTGCAAAAGATCGTATCTTCAAGCACTGTTCGTGTTTTTTTTTCTTTATGAAACAAATTTTGCCACTCTTTCTGAACTACTAGATTCCCTCTGCATTTTGACATTGCAAAGTCTATGATCAGATACTGGCACAGGCTTCTGCATCAGGCACGAGGATCACATACCAGGTTTGTGCATCTGCTCATAATATCAAAACCAAATTATCTATTTTACATTCATGTATACCATGTGAGTCTATCTCCCACCTTGCCATGCAGCACCGTCCCTTGGTGGCTTTTGCAGTTAAGTTAAATATCCAATACATTGCCAATTTATTTTAGGAACTTTTTCAGGTTGGGGTGTACCTGAGAAGGAGGGAAACACTGTTGAACGTATATTTATATATATCTATATATGTGTGTAGTTCATGATGTTCAAACTGCTTTTTCTTTTCTTTGTATGTATACTAGACTATTGTTGTTTCATTTTGTTATTGTCTTATTAATGTCTTATATTGTACTATGCTCCTTGTGAGCCCATTTAATGGAAAT